CGGGGGCGAGCGCAGGGGTCTGGGGGGCTGCCACGGTGGGGACTGTGTCGCTCCTACCTCTGCGTGCTGGAGGGCTGGGCCCCCAATTTCTGCCGGTGCTGGTGCTCAGTTTGCAATGGGAACCTGACGTGCGGTTGCTGCTCGCTTGGAGGTAGTATGATGATATTCCGGGGAGAGGCTGTTGGGATCTCACACCCTTAGAGGGAGAATCCGAATCCAGCTTCTCTGGAAAGACCTTTCAGTAGAGGAGAAAAGCGAGTGCTGGAGACCCAGGCCTGCTGCCTCCTGATCCTGCAGGCAGCACTGATCTTACAGGGTTGCTGCAGTTCTCCCTCCCGGCTTGCAGACTCGATCCTGCGTGTGGTGTGGCCATGGAGCACTGATGCCATCCTGTGCTTGCCCACAGGGCTTACCGTGAGAGCCCCGCGAGTGCCTCCCAGACCAGCTTCCATGGTGCTCTCAGGCAATGTCAGAAGAGGCCAAGGACTGATTAAGCAGCGGGAGAGCACCTCCCTGCTCTGTCAGAGACTCGAGAGCATCTGCTGTAGGCACACACTTAGATCCCTTTACTTGCAAGCAGCCTAGGTGTACATAACTTTCCTGTAGGACTTGTTCTGCGTCCTGAAATATATGAAGGAGGTGTAATGGGAGGCTGAGCTTGCTGGCCTCTAAACACTGCTATTCATGTGCATGCTTTTCCTCCTCTTTTCTCCTCCTCCAGCAAAAACCCCTCTCCAGGCGTAAGTGTGCAGCCTGCAAGATCGTAGTGCATACGCCCTGCATCGAACAGCTGGAGAAAGTGAGTAGAGCCTGTTAAGCCCTCTCTGTGGCTCACAAAGCTGTAACAAACAGCCTTTTCCTGGGCAGCCCTTCCTCTTGGGTAGTGAAACACAAGAAGATTGGGGAACTGCTATGTGTCATTGCAAAGAGAGGTCTTCTGAGGAAGACAATACCAAAAGGAGTATCTAGTGACATGATTGGGACCCCAGGCCCCATTTTGTTCAGTAGCAGAGATACGTGAGGGGTTTCGCGGGAAGCATCAAACATCTCTACAGGCTCTGGGCCTGCTGTAGTGAAATAAACTCCAGTAGGTTTCCTTCAGGTATGATGATTTTACTGATTCCTCTCATGTGTGTTCAACCTACAGATAAATTTCCGCTGCAAACCTTCCTTCAGGGAGTCAGGATCCCGGAACGTACGGGAGGTGAGAGATGTGCCTGGGACGCTGCCCATGTCTGACCCCTCCTTGCCTTCCCAGTTTGGTGGCAGAGGCATCAGATGCTGCCAGCCTGTTGCCCATCAGAGTGCAGGCACCATGCAGCCTCCTGGCTCCAAGGGGATGGCGCAGTAAAGGGGATGTGTCTTTGCAAGGCAGCAGCGCAGACTGGATGTGAGGAGCTCGCAGGCAGCAAATGCAGTACATGTGCTGGTTTGCATGTCCTAAGGCTCCTGCATCTGCATGAGGGGAACCTGCAAACAGTATTTCCTGGGAGAGTTTTTTGCCCCCTTTGTGCTGGTCCCCAAGCAAGTAGGGGAGGCTGTGGCAAACAGCAGTTTGCCAAGTCTCCCACAATTTGGAAGGGAGCAGTACAGGCTCACTTCTTGCTTTATTGCTCAGCCCTGACCTGTGCCACAGGTACTCCAGGTAACAGTGGAAGATGCCCACAGTGGTGCTGTCAGACCCCTTTAGCCCATGTTTTAATGTCCTGGGCGTAAGCAGCGGCCTGGGACCTGCCTGCTGAGCTGCATTGGTAGAAGCACTTGTCAGCCTTCATGCTTCACCCTCCAGCTCATGGAGCCCGCGTAGCCCATGCAGTGCTCTGGAGTGGGTATGGATGGCTCAGTCATGGGCCATTTTGGTAACACAGTTGCTGCCCCCACACCGTGTTTGTGCTGGCACAGCAGACACAGTAGGGGAAAGGTAATCAAACACAGGGCTGCCTGCTCAGAAATGCCAGTGTCACCTGGTGAGGTAAAGCTTTCAACATCACTTTAAACCTTCGTTTCTTCCTTTGCTTCTCCTGCCATGCCTCCTTCCCCATGCGACTCTTAGCCCAGCTCCCTTATTTGTCCTTCAGTTACTTTTTGGATTCTGCTCACAACTGTCTGCGTCCGCTCACTCTTCTGTCTCTATTTTCCTTTTCTCCAACTTCTACAAATTTTCTCTCCCTCCCATTTCCTGTTTTTCCTCCTTTTACTCACAAATCCTGCTTCTCCATCCTGTCTTTCTAATATTCCTCACTTTCTCCAAGGGCTCTTCCCTCCTGTTTCCCTAGAAAGGTGCTCTTCTGGCCTTTGTGCTGCCAGGGATCCCCTTCAGGGTCATCCCTTTCCCTA